AGTGGTCATAGATTTATCTGTCGAATCATGACCTGACGATGATGATGAGCTATGTGGAAAGCATTATTAATGGTCTCCTGTTTCGTTCCCAAAGGGTGGTACTCATTTATTAACCTCGGCGAGTAAGACACCGACCAGGGCTCAAACTCAGAAACTATTGGTTCTGCGTTAGACTCACAACCGGCCGAGCACTGCCCGGTCTGCTGAGGATTGAAGACAAGCGTCAGCGGCACGTTCAAACGAAATACCTCAGTAGTAATTAATCTTCCCTCCCTCGTCATCGATCAATCTTCCATCGCATTGGTTTATGCAGTAGCAAATGCCAGATAGTACCCGGGGCCGTTTGTATAAGTTCTGCAGGTAATACTACGCGCCTATTGCCAGCCAATTGGCGGACCGAAAGACAGTTCTCGGATTGCCACCTTGCCCAGCAGTTGAATAAGAGGTACTTTGCGGTCAGGTTTAAAATCTACGCTATAAGACTTGATGCGTGTCCTTTATTCTCTCCAGCACAAATTATTTCCAGTAGAACAGGTAGCGATTTGATAAATCAACTAATGTGATATAACTTTGGGGATGTGATGAAATTGAAGCGTATCGGAATAATTCTTTATACTTGCATGTCACATTTTCAGAGTTTAGAAAAGATGCAAAGACCCCATTTCCATGCTTCATATAAATACACGCACTAGTACAAAACGTGGCGAAAATATCAACAGCTTCTAAATCGAAAATGGCATCTGACATTGTTGTCTTTTCACAGCAGCTTTAGAAGAGGTTTTCAAGACTCCATTTTGAATGTCAAGAGATGAAGAATAGTGGTCACTTTTTAAGCGATTTGCAATTTACTGGCGATACCTTGATTCTTAACATGTTTTCATAAGAATTGCAGTAAAGTACTGAATACTGAAAGGGCATCAAAACAGAAGTGAGAATGAACTTGAAAAGACTCAGGTCATGTTTTCTGACCTGTTGAAGTCAACGGACTCGGGCTCGAAGAAGTGCCTTTTCTCTGACGCAACTTACCTGTGCCACGGAGAGCTGATTGTCTGAACTCAGCGGAATAATAAAAATGGCTCGGAGCACTTTTGGAAGACTGAAAATGTTACTGTGCTAGAAACTGCCCTTCTGGTTGAAACGGATTTTTCGATCACTGTGTGCTCCCAGTGCTATCCTATGGATGCGAAACCCTAAGCGTGAAAGTTATTCATAAACTGCAGACTGCGCACCGCACCATCGAAAGTGTTATGTTGGAAATAACAAGAAAATGTGGGAAGATGGGCGAAAGAATGGGTAGGAGCACAAACAGAAGTGTCATTGAAAGAGCGACGAGGTGAAATGGCAATGGACAGGATACACTAGAGAATAAGCCGACCATCGTTGAACCGACAGATATTTGACTGTATTTTGAGGGAATGCAAACGGCCCATGGAATAACCTCCAGATCGATGACAGGACGAGGTTAATAAATTAGTTGGACCAACGTGGAAAAAACCAATTTCATAATGAAATTTTGGAAAAGCCTTCGTTCAACAGTGAATCGATCAAAGTTGATGATGATGGTCCGTTTCATGCCAGAGAGTACCCTAAATTCAACCGCGATAAAAAAGCCAACTTATAAACTGAACTGCACGTTAGCTAGTGGCTTACCATAGCGATTGACAAAATCTGTATGCATTTAAAAGATCATTTCGTTTTTTTATGTTTTCACTATGGAGAACACGTACGTGCGCCTATGATTTGAACATGGATTGATTTTCACAAT